TGATCTCAGGGTTGTGAGTTCAAGCCCCGCATTGGGCTCTGCACGGGGCATGAAGCCTACTTTAAAAAACAAAACAAAACAACAGATACAACACAGGAACAGCCAAATGGAAGAGGTACACAGAGTAAGGTCTTGGGGGAGGAAGAACTTCCATGCTCTCTCCTGATGTACCACCCTCCCAGCTCATCAGGTGTGTTTACCAACTCAGAAGTTCCTTGAGCCTCACTGATTCAGGGTTTTTATGTGGGGTTTCATTCCGTATGCACGATTCATTACATCATTGGCCAAGTGACTGAACCCAATGTTTGGTCTCTTTCTCCTCCCTCAGGAGTTAGTATTGAAAGTTCTGACCCTCTAAAGACATAGTCAAAGGGGCTTATTATGAATAATAATTACAAACAAAGGACGAGTCCTATCTCTCAGGGAATTCCAAGGGTTTTAGGAGCTCTGTGCCAGGAACCAAGGACAAACACCAAGTACATTTTATTGTATCATATATTCCCATTACGAATACATGTATCACATGAGCAGACACCTGGGCCTGCCGTGTAATGCAGCTTCAAGAGTTCCAAATGAACTCAGGAGCTACCGTGACCGTGACTTCCCAGCGAGAGGCCCACGCCTGGGAGCAAATTCGCTTCTGCCTTTGCCAGCTCGATGGCTTTGGGCAACTCACATCACCTCCAACGTGGCTTCCTCATTTGTAAAATACAGAGAGTAACTCCTGTCCTGAAGGATTGTTTGATGAGATGGTAGGCATCTAGGCCCCTGGCACACAGGAGTACAAAACAAGAAGCTACTTCCTTCCCCTTCTGTCTAAACTCCCTGGCCCTCCTGCCCTGGACTCTGACCCCTGTGGGGTGGGACTGTATCTTCCCTGTGAGACACTCAGCTGGGGCCCCTGTCTCCCATACACATGCACGCATACCCCCAGGGACACACAACCATCTGAGCCCTGGGTTCCAGGCCTGGTTTTAACTAGGTTTTGACTAACTGGTTTTGACTGATTTAGACTAACTAACTGTGATGTCAGACAAGTCCCCAGTCTCTGCCCTTCTCTGGGCCTCAGTTTTACTCCACAAAACACATTTGTACAAAGAGGGGCTGGGAGCTAAGGTTCACTGGGTGCCTTCCTATTTTTTTTTAATTTTTAAATAGGCTCCATGCCCAATGTGGGGCTTGAATTCACAACTTGGAGATCAAGAATCACACGCTCTGCTGACTGAGCCAGCCAGGTGCCCAAGGTGCCTTCCATGCTGACCAAGTCGATCAGCACCAGGGTGTGAAGCAGAGAGAAGCAGGAAATAAGGGTCTAAATAACTTAAAACTTTATTACGGGTGAAAGGTACTGGCTTGAGGACCCAAGCCTAGAGACCGCTTCCCAAAGTGAAGGTTAAATAAGGAAAGGGAGGGATGCTAAAGCCTTGGCTGGGGCCAGTGCAGGGCTGGGGCCAGTGCAGGGCTGGGGCCAGGGCAGGGCTGGGACTCAAGGCCAGTACCCTGTTGGACTCTGTCCACTGAGCCTCAGACAAGACTGGGAAAAATACAGAGGGGGCCCAGGACTGTATCACCCCACCCAGGGAGGAGCAGGGAGAGGCCTGCTTCGGGTACACCTCACCACCGGGACAGGAATATAGGCACTGTAGTAAAGTGCTCCCGAATCCACCAAGATCAAGAAAGAGGGCTCTGCCCGGGGGACATCCTGTGTCCCAGAGAAGGGCCCCCCCCACTCCATACGCCCGACTTGGGAATGGCTGAAACCCGGACAAAGGCAGAGCCTGGCAGAGCCCGCGGGAACCAGGTGGGGCAGGGCTGAGCAGGTGGTGTCAGGGCCTGAGCTCCTTCTTCCATTTCTGCAGCTTCTCATCCATGGCCTGGAGTGTGGACTCATCCTGCACCAACACAGATCGGTCCAGCCCCTCTCCCCACACCACCAGTGGGCCGCGGGGAGCTTGAGGGGGCCCTCTTTCCCCTCAAAAACCCCGTCCTTTACCTTCACGAAACAGAAGCGGATATAGTGGTCAAAGATCTTCCGATGAGGCACGCTGTAGAAGGTGGAGACGGGGATGGCCACCAAGCCCTGGGGAGGAGGAAGCCCATGTCTCAACACAGTCCCATAGCAGGGTAATCCTTGGCTCTGGGGACAGAGAGCTTCTCTCGATGGGGTGGGGGAAAGAAGGAACATTCAGTGGAGCACCCTCCGGTGCTGGGTCAAGGTCAGAGGCAAAGAATCCCAGAGCATGGTTCTCGGTCCCTCCCGGTAGTACACAGGGAGGGGAAATGGAGAGGGGAGCACCACGTGGCAGGTTAGGGCAGAGCAAGAGAGGAAATAAAACTTAGGGTCAGAGCTCGGAGCTGGCTGAGCTCGTAGTTAACGAGCCGACTCTGCACCCACTGCACAGATGGGAAGGCTGAGGCCGAGAGAGGGCAGGGATTCCTGGCAGCCCGCACGGTGTCTTTTTGCAAATTCCAGACTCCCCATTCCTTGACATAGACACACTCCTGTACCAGGGCTGAGGGCAGAGGCTGGGCTGGATTTGGGCCCAGCCTGTAAAACCACACACAGGTGCCCTGGCAGAGCCTGGCCCACCTTGTTCTTTTTTTCTTTTAAGATGTTATTTTATTTTATTTATGTTTACTTATTTTTGAGAATGAGAGAGATAGAGCACAAGCAGGGGAGGGGCAGAGAGAGAGGGAGACACAGAATCCGAAGCGGGCTCCAGGCTCCGAGCCGTCAGCACAGAGCCCGACGCGGGGATTGAACCCACAGACCGTGAGATCTCGATCTGAGCCGAAGTCAGAAGCTTAACCGACTGAGCCACCCAGGCGTCCCAGACCCACCTTGGTTTTGATCATCCACTTGATGAAGCGTCTGTCGTAGGGCTCATCCACGTCACCGGGCAAGTCGGGCATCTTGCTCTCTGGGGGACAGAAGCCACGCTGAGCCCTGGGCGGCCTCCAGCGCCGCCTCCCCGCCCCCCCCTCCCCCCACC